GAGCACAAATGCAGATGCAGGGAGGACCATGCAAACAAACACACTCTCACATGTATGCGCATCGACAATCACGCTCAGGTCTGTAACTTCACACATCATGGGGTGACAAATGGCTCTGTCTGCCTCTCCTGCAAGTGGAATTGATTACTATGGTAACAGAGAGTCGCCTCCAGACTACGTGCTCGCCGCCGCTAATCCTCCGGCTGACACGACCCCTGACCTTGACATCAGCACCTTGTTAATCCGCCACAAAACTTATGAAGTCGTCCTCCTCTCTTTTATCTTTCCTTTTGTTTTGCCCCATATCTGTCCGCGGTCCTCGCCTCCTCTTCCTCCGTCTGGACTGGAGTCTCTCCCTGTAGCATGTTCGCTCCATCACTCTCCATCTGTTGCTGCCCAGAGGGCTGCTCGAGCTGACCTGCCCTCATGCTGCTAACCAGCAGCTACAGTCAGTCTGTCGCTAACCATGCAAAACACTTACCGAGAGCGTGCTTTCTATTTCAAGCTAACACGCAAGGTCAGATCGGCTAAAACGGGCCCCGGGACTGACCCGAGACATGGGAGGAAATACTGCTTTCAGAAACGCTCTTGTAGCTTGAAAAGGGGAGGCTTTTAATCGAGTCAGTGGCACAATGCAAAACTTAAGGTCAGCTTACTTTTAATTTTGAAAAATATTCTTCAGTAGGTAAAACTCTGAGGGCATGGCTGGCGCGTTAGATTTTAGTATTAGGTGTTAAGAAATGTATCTGCAAGCGGTGAAGATAAATGTAATCCAGAGTTATTAGAGACCTCGCTCTAACCCCGTTGGTATATACTTTTTCCCAAATCATTTTTCTCCTTTTATATAGGCGTCTTCTTTCACCTCCTCCTTTTTTCTGTGTAACGCTGCTCCGCTGTGTCTCAGCCTCCTCCTCCTCCTCCTCTCCACAGCCGGGTGAATAGGTATTCATTGGAGGTCTCCACATAAATATAAGGATGAAGATGTAAGGGTCAATCGATACCCGGTTGGTAGTCCACATGGGCTGGTTGTCATACAATCATCGCACAGTTCGCTGTGGGAAAGGAGCAAATTTGTCCTGTCAATGACACAGCATGCATGAGCAGAGTGGAGGCAGGGGTCAAGCAGGTATCAGTATTCTGCTCATATTTCCACCTCGTGAACACGCTCAGCCGCACTGAGCTGTTAACGGACTGGGATTTTTATGGTTCTCCTCGCCTACATCTGTGAAGGCAGAAAAAGGAACAGCACAGAGACGAGTGCTTCTAATCTATTTCACCTCTTGGACGTATGTAGGACGGAGTGCAGGTGGAGCTTCATGTTTTGTCACGTTATGTCAGTTTTGTTTAATGTTTTAGCTCATTGGATGGTAATGCCAGTTTGTCAGTCTGTCTGACCCAGATGGAAATATCTCAACAATGTGATTGTTGGATGGATGGACATTAAGGCTGCAGCATTCATGGTCCCCAGAGGATGAATCCTGGTGACTCTGTCAACCCGTTGACTTTTCATTTAATACAACCAGCCGCTCAACGTCAACGTGAAATAGTTTGAAATCTAACAGGAAATGTATTCAGACAGAATTTCTCTTTCAGAACACTCAGATATTCAAAGTTTGTAGACGCTGTATCCTTAAACTTTGGAGAATCCCAGATTGATTTTCTTCTCTGGCGCCACTATGAAGTTGACATTTATAATTCTGATTTAAGTGTCTCAACAGCTGTTGGATGGATTGTCATGAAACTAGCTACAGGCAGTCCATCCATCCATCCATCCATCCATCCATCCATCCATCCATCCATCATCTCTACACCTTAATCCTCATGGGGGACTGGAGTCTATCCCAGCTGACACAGGGTGAAGGCAGGTTCACCTGGACAGGTAACCAGTCTATCACAGGGCTACACTTAGAGACAGACAACCAAGAACACTCACATTCACACCTACGGACAATTTACAATCACCAATTAACCTCAGCATGTTTCTGGACTGTGGGAGGAAGCCAGAGATGCAAACTCCACGCAGAAAGATCCCAGGTGTCCTCACCGGGACGCGAACTGGCGAGCTTCGAGCTGCTAATGCAGCTCTATTTCTTAAATCATTCTGGGCGAGTATGTTGAGAAACTAAACCAATGTAATGAACATTACAAACATTAAATTTGCCCAAACCTGCAGCAAACCTTATAAATGTGTCAAAAAAATAAATAAATAAATTAAAAAACGAGAGGTTCTTGGTTCTACTGGGGAAACAAACAAACAAACACACAAACAAACAAACAAACAGTGTAGTGTAGTGTGATTAGGTGCACTTCTATGCTACATTATGAATAACTGCAATAAACGAGGTGGAAGAAACTCAACCTCAAAGAAGAAATTAACAAAACTGGAAAAAAAATGGATAGAAGTGTTTAGAAATGATTTTAAGTTGGGAATGTTGTAGTTATTGTCTTATGTCAGCTCGGTCGGCCATGTTTCATGGAAGAAGCAGCTACAGTCGACCAGTTAAACGTTCACATCTCACATGAATCACATAAACCACCTTAGATGAGCCTAAAACTTCTTTGGCAGAACTGAAGATATTTAGTCTGTTTTTGTTTCCTTTAATTTACTGAAATGCAAAATGCAGCACGACTACATTTAGATGAAGCTCAACATGATGCCGTGTTCAGGTACCAGCTCACAAAGCTCCTCTTGTTTTGACTTTAGTGTCAAAGTGATAATTGAGTTTTAAGATGATACCAAGACAACACAGTTTTTTGGACCTCGGCTGACCAAGTCGTTTGGTCAGTTGTTTTCATATAGCAAAAAAAGTCCAGCTTCTAAAAGGTTAATTGTTTCTAAATAAAGCAGCCATACAAGGGTCAATGAGGAAAATGTGTTTAACGAGTGAGTGAACTCGTCTATGGATGCACCGGATCCCAACTTGAGATGCTTCCTTGTTATTGTGATGTTTGCTGCATTGGACACATTTCTTGTTCGTATTAAAAAGCTACTAAGGTTCAATACCCGACTATTTGATTCAGATGTCCGTTAAATGGTCCGTTATCAGTGAATATCATCCGTATACACACACGGGTCAGTAGGGACCACCGTCGCCTTCTTGTACACTCAGCAGACCCGCTACCATCCATCCTCATCAAAGACAAAGTAAGACCGATAACGTCCTCCTGCGGCTGTGTGACTCAGTGCAGTGGATTCATCGCTGAAAATGCACAAAGTGGAGCTTCCTCCCACGTGGTAAACACAGCAGCAGATCTTAACCCAGACCACGACCCGTTTCTAAACCTAATCAGGTTGTTTTGGTGCCGGACTGAACCAAACATCAACCCAAAAGAAGCGAGTGAGAGCGAAAGCAAAAACATGATTTGGATCAAGCTGCTGCTTTATGCCTCGTCCATCTCCTCCACCCTCCACATGTGGACTTTTGTTTATTTTCGTTGGTGAAATAAAACTTGGCTACATATGAGGTGGTGAGGGAGCGCCATTAAAATTAGCGCTAACATGCCTGGTGAGCATACGAGAAGGTGGAGGAGGTCCCTACTGGCTCGTATGTATGGCAACGATGTGCACTGATAATGAGCAACTTAATGGTTTGATAACATTTGAGTTGGGTGACCAGCTCTACACCTAAATGCACAACACAAAAGCCTATGAGGGATACTTACTAGTGTCGCCCAACAGCGACCTGAGGACACAGATGCAGAAAGCAAACTGCAGGCGAGTTCTTGCAGGACTCAAGTTCAAGTACGGCATTGTCTCTGATTAATTAAACTTTTTGTAATGAAAAGGAGATGAAATGATCTCAAATTAAAACTCTCAGGTTACAAATTTAAATCCCAAGTCTTTGTATCTTGAAAACTTTTCAATAATATCCAGCTGTGTGCTCTTATCCAGCTTCTGGCTCCGGCACAAATCTCTCTCCCGGCTCTGTCCACTCGCCATTTCTCATCCTCTCTACCTATTCCTCATCCACTTCCCCGGCTCTATATCATTTTCTTGTTATCTTCTCTTATGTCCCTTCCTTTCTCTTCCTCCCCTGACTCTTCCACCTCCTCCCACCTTCTCCTCCTGCCCCATCATTACTCCTCTTTCAATGCTCATCTTTCTAAGGCTGCCGAATTTCCCAGCACAACAGTGCTATTCTGCTGCCTACTAATAGAATCCCTCAGTTCCTCTAATGGATCTGTCAGAATCTCCTGAGTACAGGAGACCAGATGGATTGATAGGGGGAGGGAGGGAGACAGACAGAGAGAGGGGGGACAAAGAGACAGAGAGACACAGAGAGATGATGAGACTGAGAGCGAGAGAGCGAGAGGAGAAAAAAAAAAAAGGGAGTTGCTCTCGACACTTTGATCTGTTCCTCGGAGAGCCTCGGAGCAGCAGCTCCACCGACATTGCCAAGCCGCCGGCATATGGTCCGATAGACGCGGTGCCACTTAAGGCCATCCCATTGTCACCATGGGATAATGACAGTCACACTGTGGCCAGGTGAGTCTTTTCAGACAGGCCTTTCTATGCATATGAAAAGGTTTGATTTCTACTTTTTTTTTTTTTCACACTTTGCCGCAGTGATTCTGTAACAACACTCTGCACCGAAAAGGAGTTCTTTAGAAAAGGAAAATGAGAATAAATATGTGGTGGGGAAACCTTGACGCCACTCCGCCACCGCATTAAGTCGAGCATTAAAACACGACAATGGAAACACTCTTTAAGTAGCTCATACATAAACATGTTTGTTTCAGTTGGTAGTTAAAGAGAACTCGTGTCACTGTTTGGTTGTTTTTTGTTTTTTTTGCATCTAATTGGTTTTATCCTCTAAACAGTGGCACCACAATAAAACAAACAGAATGCTTTTTATTAATTAGATCAATTATTGTTTCATAATATCAGAAGTAACAAATGGACATTTACGCATCGGAAAGTTTCGCCGATTATTTAAAAAAATGTCACACTGGATAATTATCTTCTGTCTCTTTCACACAGTGAGTTAATTGCAGCTCACCGTTGTCTGTGGCGGTGAAGACAGCTGTGTACTTGTTGTCGTGGACATAAGGAGACTCGCGGTCCAGCGAGGCCGAGGTGTTGACAGTTCCTTTGACTGGACTCACACTCAGCCAGCCTGCTGGGTCTTGCAGAACAGCGTACCTGGATGAAGGTAAAAAAAAAAAAAAGATAAGAAGTTGTGAGCACACATGGAAAAGATAAACTATGTGCTTTATCTTGTAAGAAGTTATTATTCCAGGTTATTTGCTGTAATATTTAAGGTGCTATACACACACAGACAGAAACAGCAGTACATCTGAATCCTCCACATTTCTCCAGACTGTGTATAAGTCATAGATTCTACATAAAAGTTGGGTGTAGCCGCCATTACCTCACCTATGGGTTTGTTGACTACTGCTTTGTACCATTGAATGCTGCATTTTGTCCATTTCCGTATTTGTTTTTCAAAACAGGACACGTCTGACAAGAGGAAGGTCTGACTGAGAACTCAAGGACATGATGCATGACTTCGGTCACAAGGCCCTCAAACACATCCTGGTTTACTCTACACGGCACCATAATGTACAAAATGAGCATCATCTGGTATTAAATAAGACCTGAAATTAGCGATCGACACCATAAACTCATTAGAAAAATGTTTACTGAGGTGACAGATCGGCTGAGAAGGAGGGTCATTTTCTGCAGTCTGACATATTACAGGAGTCGCTCCCTGCTGGCCATCTGAAAGAATGCAGGCTGAAGGTACTTTGCATTGACTTCACTGTTCAGATCCTGCAGCAGCTACATCATTTATATGCAGTCTGTGGTAAAACACCACTTTTTTGTCCAAAGGAAATCTTGTTGCTAAAGTGCATAAATGCTATTACTCATGGGAAAGCATGCTTAAAGTACTGATATCGTTATTGTTGGGCTCGGTTTGTTAAAAACAAGAACAAAAAAAACCAATACTGAACTCTGCATCACTGAAATCGCACAAAGAAGAGCAGATCTTTACACAAATGCAAAAAAAAGAGTTGAAAATAGTAGGTATATGCAACACAAAGTGAAAAAGGTAGGGAAAGAATCAAAGCTATAATTAAAAACACAACACGAGTAGACTGCAGGTTAATGAGATCTCACAATCTGAAGAAATACACTTTACAGAGCTGCAGTCTGAAGATGATGAAGGCCACTCCAAAAATCTTGTGGGCGAGCTGCCAAGCCGGCTTTGCCGTAAAAAAAAAAAAAAAACGAGCTGGAGAGCAGATCATGACCTCGCTAATGTGGCCACTCAGTCTGGCTCTGATGGCTGCTGGATGGTGATTGGAAGGGGCCTGCATCTGGGCTAGCATCACGAGGGATTGATTTAAGGGCTGTGGTGCTGTATTTTTCTATACATATATATATATATACACACACCGATGCACTTGCACAAGTTTGTACGCATGTAGGCCGCATGATTCATGTGTGCAGCTGAAAGTTTCCAACACACACACACACACACACTCGAGCACACAGACACACACACACACACAAGACTAGTGACTTCCACCACCACAAGGCCGCTCTTTGCCAAAGTGCTCAGCAGTAGACAAATTGTCTTTGAAATGGAGCTCTTCAGCTAACAGAGCGCGACAAAGCCTTGGGAAATGGCTTTGCAATCAACCTCTGCTCACACCTTTCGCCTCTCACTCTTACTCACATGCACTTTCCCTGCCAGCGATTACTACTGTTAACCAACACGTGTGTTTCACGGCAGCAAAAGAGGTGGTGTTGTGAGGTTAAGCGCACTATTAATGACACATCTATCAGTGAGCACGCTCTCTTTCAGTCCCGCTCTCGCTCTCTTTTTTCTTTTTTTTTTACAGGCTCACACTATAATGCAAACTGGAGGATCCCCATGATTCATGAGGCCAACTGCAGCAGTATAACACAGCCAGGTTCACAGGTTATTAACTTCCATATGTCTCACTCCCCCCTTCACCTGCTGCATTATCAGAAGCACTGTGTGGTCTCTGTGTTGGAGGATAGAGTCGGTCTGTCACCACATCGTGAAAGAGAAACATACACATGAATGAAATTATAATTTTTAGGGTATTTCCTGTCAAATAAATCACAGTGTATGCATTTAGCACAGCAGCCTGACTAATACACTGGCATTAATGGTAATAATCTATATTGTTTTGCTGTTGACAGACATGTTGGCTGATTTTGGAGAACAGTTTAGTTTTTAATTACATAATCGAGCAGCTGCTGACTTTTATTTTGAAATGTGAGTTCGTCATGAGGTGTAGAGTTACAGTAAATTCAAGGATCAACAACTTCAATCTTAGAAAAGTGCTTTGTGATGTGTACATGTTGACATTTTACACCCTCTTGGAGCAAATCCCTACTTGTTAAACAGGGACTGAAGTCTGAAAATCAGCATTTTCCTTCTACTTAAACTCAGAGATTTGCTCTAACACCGAGGCTTTAAGAACTTCTCACAGACATGTGGCGCTGCAACAGATCGCCGGAGTGAAAGATGACGGCATTGTGTTCCTCCCTACAGTGGAAGTCGTGGCGTGTGATGCTCCTGTCTGCCTTGGTGCAAGGTAACAACTAAATGAGTCCAGCCCAGTGTTTCTCCTCTCTGTGCAAACATGGGGACAGTCCATTAGAGCCCTTTAAAGGGCAAATTAGAAAGACATTAAAAAGCCATTAGGAATATTCATATCTGGTTCGACGTGTTTATCTCTAAAACCAGAGAAGGCCCAAACAAATCAGTCAACAATTGAGACAGTGCGCAAACACAATGCTCACACGTGTCCTCATTTGGCTGCAAACACACACAAACACACACACACACTCGCAGACACACAACAGCAAGCAAAAAGAAAAAATGGCCTCTTTCATTGTGAAATAAATCGCAAGACAGCAAGGTGATTTGTTCGGATTTTCGCTTAAGTTGCAGAATGTTCAGTATCACGAGGCAAACGCTGTGACCCCGGCGTTAGAGAGAGGTGGCCTTAATATGGTTCCACTGAACTGCAGAGCTGCACCCTGAGGGGCTACTCTGAGCTGCTATAGCTGGCATCAGCGCCCAGTCTGAGTGTGTGTGTGTGTGTGTGTGTGTGTGTGTGTGTGTGTGTGTGTGTGTGTGTGCTAGTCAGGCATTGCCCTTAGCGGTAAGAGGACACAGAGGAGCCGGTTCGGGGACTCGACTGAATCTGACTGTCAAAGTGTCTCATTAGAGGTGATCCAGGGCCACACACACATCATACGATACCAGCGCACAAAGCTTTTTAAAAGTGCTTTACTTAAGCCTCTCTGAGAAGCCGTCCTTTCAGTATTTATTTAAAAAAAATAAAACAGTTACTCTAAAATATTGGTCAAATTTGAAGTAATCTGCTTTTAAGCTGAAACTACTACAATTTAAGAAAATTGCAGGCACTCGCTAATTTTTGCTAAACAGTTAAAAACGTGTAATTCTCCAGAAGGACGGCTGTTTTGCCAACACTTAATAGGCAATCTGTGCAGAAAACCCCAAAAGCAAACGTAATGCAGCAGACAAAAAAAGAAAAAGAAGAAGCTGCCAGATAATGATGCTTAGCAAAACAAAGAGAGAGACTCTCAACTAATGCACGCCCAGAAAGTAAATAATTTATTTTGACAGCGAATTCAGAAGTTCTAATGTGAAAGCGGGCCTTCGCTGTCACCCTTTGGAAATGTGAGCGACAGACGGGTTCTTTCTGAGCGCGATCCGAGCCTTGTTCCTCGGTTTCTCTCAGACAACTCAAAGGAATCTGGGAGCAGGAGGGAGAAAGAGGCTTGCCGCCCACTTGTAATCCAGTTACATCAGGAACAAAATGCTGGCGTACATTGTGTACGTCTGCATCCGTGTCTGCGTGTCGATAGCAGGTGTGGGTGGGATACACGGAGTACGGGAGACAATTTGTGGTGAGAGCTAATTTGGAGGGAAGATAAAGGCTGAGCGGTGAGCGCCGTAAAGGAAAGCTCTTTGCATAAACACTGATTATTTCGCTTGTTTGTTGCACTTAAGTAAGATGTGTGGCTGGCACTTCTCCTAAGTAGTAGTAATGTACAGTAGTGTGGTTGTCGCTGCAATTTCCTCTTTTAAAGACGCACATTTTTTACTGGATCAGCAGCATAAACTTAGAACAGATGTTTAAGATTGTACTTTCCAAACTGGACAATGTATTTTTGTTTTAATGCCATCATTGTGCTTTTAGTTTGATTCTTCTGTGTTTTTTTTTCATAATTTAATGAACTCACTTGTGCTTTACTTGCATCATTAAGTACAATATTTTATGTATTTTTATGTTCTTTGATGGAAAGATGACCTGTCCAGAGTGTGCCGTCTCTTTCCTGATGTCTAACTATATTCCATCCATCCATCCGTCCGTCCGTCCATCCATCCATCCATCCATCCATCCATCCATGCATCCATCCATCCATCCATCCATCCATCCATGCATCCATCCATCCATCCGTCCATCCGCCCATCCATTCGTCCATCCATCCATCCATCCATCCATCCATCCATCCATCCACCCATCCATCCATCCATCCATCCACCCACCCATCCATCCATCCATCCACCCATCCATCCATCCATCCATCCATCCACCCATCCATCCATCCATCCATTTTCTATACACAGCTTTATCCTCTGTAGGGTCGCCCCAACATTTGACATCATACAACCCAGTGACTTTTAGCCTTTATTTAGTCTCTTAAGGGCTTTATGTCATAAAGATCCATTTAAACAACCTTTTATAAATACAAACTAGACTTGAGCTATCTACAGTTGGAACAGCATGAATCCATTTGTAAGCCAACTGAGGCCATAACGCCCCAACATTTGGCACAATATGACCTGTGTGATACGAAGCACTGCTGTTTCTTTAAACATGACGTAAACTCCTCCCCACCTAAAACTCCAGTGACTCAGTGCTGAACTTTCCAAAAGTTGGAAAGCCCACAAGAGACAGATATTAAAAAAAAGAAAAAATTGGTCAAAAATCCCAGCAGCAGCAGCAGCAGCAGCAGCAGCAGAGACTAAGACATCCTGACTTTTAGTACCCAGCGTGGATTAACTTTCAAGAACTGCGGATCCTGCACTTCCCATACTGCAACTAAACAGCATCTTTCATCAGACT